AGCCCACTACTACGCAAGATCTTCTCGTGCATATGCCGCGAAAACCAACGTGGCTCCAGCGACCAGGCGAGCGACGATCAATCGTCAGCATCGTGATTTGACGGCTACCCGACGTGTAATTTCCACATCAAGCTTGGCCCCTACAGCCCTACCAAGATTGACGAATGGTCAAACCCCACAACCGGCGCCGTCAGACCGGGCTTGCGGGAGATGGTCTTATCGCACGTGGATTTTCGGAGTTGGCAGTAGGCTTGGGTGAAACACTGCAGGAAAGGCCGAGAAGGCTACGCCATGCGCTGGCTCGCACAGGCGGTGGGCCACAGCTGTTAGTTCCGTTCACTGTGGGCGCTTCCTAATTTCCGTAGATATAAGTAAGTCGAGGAAGGCACCATGAAGCGGTATCTCACTCCTTTGAAGATCCAACTCAACCACGCTCTCTAGCAACCCCACAGTCATTCCTTGATCAACTGATCTGTCATTCATTCATTCATTATGCTTACCTCTACCTTCATTTTGGCCCTTGCTGGCCTCTCCTCCATGATCGAGGCATCTCCTCTCCAGGCACGTGGTGGAAGCAAGCGTGGTCTTGCCTTCCCCAAGAACCACAACGGTGTTTCTGGATCCCAGTGGACTCACAAGTTCGCCGGCTCCAAAGTCTCCTGGATGTACGACTGGGAGGCAGTCATCGACGGAACACCCCTCGACCTTGAATACGTTCCCCTCCTCCACTCCAACCAGCAGTGGTGCACTGAGGGCTGGAACACCAACATTGCCAATGCCAAGAAGAACTACAAGGTTTCGCACGTCTTGAGCTTCAACGAGCCCGACCAAGCTGGTGGTGGAGGCTCCAACATCGATGTCGCCACTGCTGCCGCAACCCACAAGAAGTTCATCCAGCCCCTCGCTGCCCAGGGTCTGCGCATCGGCTCTCCTTCCGTCACCAACGCCGACGAGCCTAACAAGGGAATCAACTACCTCAAGCAATTCATGTCTGCCTGCAACGGCTGCCAGATCGACTTCGTCGTCGCCCACTACTACGCATGGGACAACGCTCAGGACTTCAAGAACTACCTCACCAAGTTTCACAAGACCTTCAACAAGCCTGTCTGGGTTACCGAGTTTGGTGTCACTTCTGGCAACGCCGATGAGTTCCTTAAGCAGGTCCTTCCCTGGATGGACGCTCAGCCCTGGATCGAGCGTTACGCCTACCACATGGTCGCCCCTAGCACCGACCAGAAGTACCTCATCTCTGCTGATGGCCAGAGCCTGTCTAGCATTGGCAAGATCTTTGCCACTGCTTAGAAGTTTGCTGTCTTGATAGACGCATCACGAGTTACGACCTTTTAACCTTTTACCTTCTTGATACCACGTTACCTTCTTGTCCATAGACTTTGTTGTGACTTCGGTCTATACCTCAAAAAATCACCATTCATTTTACCATTAAACCTATCCATCTTTGTAATATTTGTGATTAGAGTTGCGTGAAGGTTAGATACGAGGTCATCAAATCCTTTACTAATATCTATCATCGTCCATAAATTCATCATTCAGCTCTACTGCCTTTTATCGGTCTGGATTAAGTTCTCGAATCCCTACTGGCATTGTAACTGTCCATAAGTAGCCTCAAATCTGCCTTCTCCAACTCGAGTTCTTGTCATATCAGCCACTACGCCACCTGATTCTTATTCATGATGCAAAAGGAAAGCAGTGGCGCGCAATCATCACGCCAATTCCGCCACCTGGCACCCTCATCGCTTCTTTTTGGCGAGAGTGTGATGAAAGACTTGAACAAGCACACAGCTTTGAGCGATCCCCCTGTAGAGTTTGCGCAGAATTCCCCTATCTAGGTACTGTTTTGTTTTGCTTATCACCGCAACAATGCCGGAAGTCTTCAATCCGGTGTTTGATTGACGGATGGAGGATAGGTGCAATGATAGGATGTTGCTCACAGTGATCTTGCGCAACGTTGTCGAAGATTGTGATTCTGCGAGACTGCAACAACCGGAAAATTGATGCTAATGCTCCGAGGTTTGACAAGTGACGACATATCGGAGGACTCAGAAGCTGGGAATGGCTAGTGTAGGCGCATAGCTCTGCAGTAAGGCTGTAAGGTAGCTTCACGCGATGAAGCCCACAAGAGTTGAGTCGCAAGTCCGATCAATCCGGTGTTGTACTATACTCTGTCCAAGCCCTGCTGCATCGCGATCGCATCGGGTTAGCGTGTGCCCCATGAATTCACCAACCAGCGAGCGCCGGTTAGCGCCGTAGGACAAGCGCGCGCAACCAACCCCTTGTGCCTGCCCTATCTTGATATTAACTCTACTGTGCCGCAATGTCACATCTTGGGGCTACGTGCTGCGACGAGGCTGTGCTTTTCTTTGTCCCTTGCAAGAAATGCATTTCACCTCCCCTTTGAGAAGGCGCGCGCTACAATTACTCTCCACTACCTGATCATCGGCAACTGTTCTAGGAACAAGATGTTACCTGCGCACGTATGGCACCCGATGTAATCACCGGAGTCCTCCCGATATTCTGTTCGAACACCTCTAGCCCGAGTTATCGCGCATCCAATTCCATCAACTCCCAGGTCCTCAACCCACTTGGTATCAAGCGATGATGCGTTCCCGCAGACAGATCGAATCCATAGTGGTAGCAATATTTCTACTCTGCGCATGGTATCTCTTCGACGCCCACTTCAATGTCGCCCAAGGAGGTTCCCTCGAGACCAGTGTTGATAAGAAGCCATGGCATGGGTCGACGGAAGCGGCAGGAAAGCAAGAGATATCCGAGCAGGAAGGTGCGCATGGCGGCGCGAAAGGAGAAGCACCATCGACCTCCATGTCCTCTCAACATATAAGCACATCGACGCAAAGTACTGCTGTCGCGGCACCTACCCCATCCCTACCCGATCGCGTCGTGGTAATGGCAAAGCTTCCCACCGACGAAACAGGTTGGGTGCATACCGATCTACCAGACTGGCAAGCAGCCATTTACGACATCGACATTGAAACTCCACACAACATATCAACGCTGGATCCGATGACCAACAGCACTCTACGGACCCTCCGGAACAAAGGAATGGAAGCAAATGCGTACCTCGCGTACATCGTGCAGAACTACGACAGCTTACCTTCAACGATCGCGTTCATCCATCCTCACAAAGATGGCTACCCGATCGCGTGGCACACCGACAACCAAGAGCATTCTAACGTCGTCTCTCTGCAAAGTCTCAACATCAACTTTATCCAGAGCAATGGCTACGCGAATCTGCGTTGCGTCAACGATCCCGGCTGTCCGCACGAAGTGATGCCGTTTCGCGATCCGCCTGAGGAGCATCGAACTATTGAAGCAGCGATGCCGGACGCGTGGCGTGACTTGTTTAATAACACGGACGTACCGCATGTACTGGCGACGCCTTGTTGCGCGCAGTTTGCGGTGTCGAGCGAGCAGGTGCGAAAGCGGTCGTTGGACGAGTACAAAAGGTATTACACGTGGTTAATGAAAACGCCGATAAAGGACGAGACGAGTGGAAGGGTATTCGAGTACCTTTGGCATGTACTATTTGGCCAAGATCCTGTTTTGTGAGTTCCCATAGATTGAGGCTGCGATACACGGCTGCTAACAGGGATAAGTTGTCCCACGTACGAGAAGTGCTATTGCGACGTGTACAACAGATGCTAAACACACGAAACTACGATTACAATGACCAGCGCGAACCAGGACTGATTTAAAAGCGCATCGTCTTCTCCGTTGCAACAAATGTTAAATTCGCGATATTTCGTGCACGGAATGGGAGTTGATGCGGGATCTGTAGCAGCCCTGCCGTAGTCCTCGCTTGCCCCGGGCAGTGGTGCCGAAGAACACACGAATGGGCATTCATTCCAAGATGTCAGATAGCAACCACAAGCCACGACACTCCGGTTGGATAGCTGCTAGGTAACACGCTCAATGCGACAATAAGCATCCGCACTGATGTCGCAATAGCATGCATGGCTTCTGGAGCAACGCCAGTTCCTCCTTATCAATTCCTCAGACTTGTCCTTTCTCGTGTTCTCGTGGTTTCAAACACATATTTAGTAGTGCTGGAATCGAAGCCTTGCATGCTGAGAGTAAACCGAATATACGGACAAGATCCCAAGTCCTTTGGCAAATCGCGCAAAAAGTTGGGGTCATGATACCGCTTAGGCAGGTCAGTCGCATGCGCCTATCAGGGTGTTCTCAAGTTGAGTGCACTGACTGTGGCGCGAAACATGAGCTTGATTGGTGTCAAGATATCTCAGCTGCATGCACCTCGAGCTGACCGGCATTGTGCAAGTGACCGCATAGTCGCCCTCAGCCTTGTCTCATATGTATATAACGAGGCTACCCGATCTCTTGAAGAAAGTGGCACGAATCTTTCAACCCAACACAATCATGGCCAGCCAAGAGGTTGCTGTCATCAGGCCTGAGGTCCGCCCAGATCTCGCGATCAGAGTTCATGTCATCAGAAGGGGGAGGTTCGTTTACGACGAGGCTCATCCCGTCGACGATGAAGGTCACTTTCCTCAGCCTCGACGTGGAGATGGTCTCCTGTGGATCCATATACCTACCAACAATATGGAACATGTAGCAGTAAGTTGATTCTACTTCTGTTTTGTCGATTCTGTAGCAATGTTGTTGTTGCTTATTCCTGTCTATTACCAGTCATGCTTCGCGAAATGTGAAGACCCTGAGGTTACCCTCAACCCAAGCATTTGGACGATGAAGGTCCGCCCTGCCCTTTCTAAGACTCTTCATACGCCTCCACATGCTATACATATGGAGGCTTCTTGTATAGAACGCGAATCGCGTCGATCGGCCTCAACTCCGGAAGGAGTGAACGAACAAGCCAGGAATGCAAGAAACCCGCCGCATCCTGTGTCTGGACCCAATCCCGACTGGTTGCCTCTGCTCTCAGTATACGTAAGTCATAATCTGTGTAATCAAAGTAACAGTCTTGCTGAGGTCTCCAGCTCCCGTACATGAGCTGGATGGTATTTGAGGACTACCTACGCAGACCTTCAATCGGAAGCAGAGAATGGCCTGGGAGTGGAGACAATATCGTTGTTTCTTCTGATACCTTCTGCCACCCAAGAAGAACTCTAGATCAGTTCTATTACCCGGCGCTTGACGACACAAGCATCAGGGACGCCGATCAGACTGTCTCGAAATGGAGCGGCAGGGACGTCGACAAAGATGGCAAGCCTAAAGCTACACCCGACAGCTTGCTGGTCATGGTAGATCAAATTTGGTGCTGGGTCGTTGATGAAGGTTGGATACCCATGCTGAATAACATATTTGATAACGCGAAGTGCTGATGTACACCCAGACACTGTTATCTCGAGTTTCCCGTCCACATACACTCCTGACGCCCTTTGGGGGTTCACAGGGCTTTACGAATGTGTCCGAGAGCGAGCGACTGCATGTGAGACAGTGTGGGACTTGCATTCGCTACTTGTCAAAGAAGCAACCGGGCTCTTGTTCAATCAGCAAAACAAAGCCTTCAGGGACATAATTGAGACCTACAGATGGGTCACGAACAGGAAAGTATGTCTGTGCGACCTAGTCTCTCCCTAGATTGTGAGTATTGTTATCTAATTCTCATTGTAGGCGGCATACCAGACAACATACTTTCAGGATTTTCACGAAGGCTACGCTACCGGAGAATCAAGCTCTAAAGTCTATGACGGACACAATGAGTTGCAGGGCGTGCTTGAAGTGGCCGATATCATCGACGAGCTGAAAATGATCAGGCATCTCCTCCAGACCCAGCTCGACATCCTGAAGCCAATGGTGTCGGCCTTGACAAGGCTCAACCCATCGCTCGGGAGGACAACTGAACATCAGAATAACTCCATGAACATCCAAGTTGATGCGGATAGCATAACTGGGCCCATGACAATCATGGCTAGTGTCGGAGGGACTTTAAACACCGAACAACTCGAGACCACGAACGTCGTAGCACAAAGCATAAATGGCCAGTCCAAAGAAAACGTCATTATGATGGACAAGACGCTTTTGGCGGTCCTTGTAGGGTTAGAAGGCATTAGCAAGGAGGCTGAGCATACTCATAGATTGGTAAGTATGAAGATCACTGCGGATGCGTATGCCTGACAAATGTTGCAGTTGCTCGATCTGCTCGATTTAAAATCGAAGACGGCAATGTTGGTCGAAGCTCGATCGTCGACTAAGCAAGGCCAAGCCGTGATGCTGTTCACCATCGTCACAGTCATATTCGTAAGATCTTCTTCCAACCCGTGCAACGCCAACATCCCTGACATCGAGACTCAACAGCTACCGCTCTCATTCTTCACATCATACTTTGGCCAGAACGTCTCAGAGATCACGGGGGACGCGCGGAATCCAACCACCTGGGGTCTCTGGCGGATAGCGAGTCAGTTTACCCACTGATCCAATAAAACTGGTACTGATACTGACAAATCCGGCAGCACCTATCATCATCGTCGTAGTCCTTCTGTCTCTTCTGATTGCTTACTACATCACCGAGCCTAAAAGCTCGCTGTGGTTTTGGAAAGATCTGCGGGTACGACTTCGGAAATGGCTTCATGGGAAGAGAATACCAGACCCTGAGAAGAATAAATAAGCAATTTCGATCATGTACCGACTTCCGTAGCTTCGAATACAGTGGGCACACCCTCTATCAATACGCGTAGAACAGTATAGTCTCAGAGTTCGAGCTCTTAATCTCGCTCACTGGTCTAGAAGGAGACGCCATAAGCGCCATCAGAGCTGAAACACGTCGACATCTATATATAGCCAACGGCTGAGATAGGTCTACAGAAACGGCATAGTCACAGCTTAACGGGTTCCAACGACTGGAATGCCTTAGGATGGCTGTACTAAACTGCTCTCAGCAAAACAGCATTCTCGATTCGTACGTCACCTGGGCCAGGTTGATATCGATTCGCATATTGATCCACAACACTAGGGTGAAGAAGCGGACTCTGATGATGGCCAGACCTCATCTGGAACGGAATGAGATCTGAGGGGGTGTGTCGCAGGCCAAGCGCTGTCAGAAACCTTGGTACTATTAACGCCAGGCGATAACCTTCACATAGGCTGAGCTAGGAGTTTACAAACGGTACAACACACACTTTCTCTTCTAGCCATTTCATCTACAATATCCGCAACGAACCGCGCGACACATATACAACGGGGCGTTCTACAATTCAGGCTAGCTCCGCCTCAATAACACTTTCTACAGAGTGACGTGGTCTCCATATCTTGAGCACCTTCAATCCTGAACTCTCCACCAGCGCCCGCCACTCAGCCTCCGTTCTCTCCTTCGCACCAAGGCACGCCATCATGGTGATATCGGACGTTGTCACGCGAGCGAGCGGCTTCACAGAGCTAACCAAGCTTTCGTGAATGAGAAGCTTCGAGTACCCGGGTTCCATAGCTTCGGCAAGGTGAGAAAGGATCTGCTTCGCCTTTGTGTCTTCCCAGTCGTGCAGCACGTTGTGCATGAAGTAGGCACGGGCACCTTTCACTGGCTGTGGTTTAAAAAAGTCATGAGGGTGGATAGAGATGGTGTCGTCAATAGTCAACTCCTTCAGAATATCGGGCAGGTCTTGGAGCACCAGACTGCCCTCAGGGATATCAGGGTGGCGCAGATGGAATTTGGTCAGGTCGTGGCCCTTGCTACCACCGACATCGACGACAAGGGGCCGGTCAGGCTTGGACTCTTTCACAAGAGTCTCAGTTGGGTAAACATCAACCCAGGGCGTCAAATTATGCTTGGAGTGACTCTCCATGGCATCGTTAAATTCCCTTGCGGCGGCAGGGTTCGCGCCAAGGGACTGAAACAGATTCTCATCTGAGCCCCTCATGAACTGCCAGTTGCAGTCGTTGGGGTTAGTAGGGACCTTGTATCCCGACTTCTTAAGGTAGGCTGGCAAAGTCCTGAACATGGGGGAATTGACGAAGCCGTAGAATTCACCATAGACGTTGGCGAGGGCCTGATCCTCAGCGAGAGCGTGTACCCACGGTGTAGGCTTATAGGTGTCCTCGGCCGTCTCGATGACAAGATTCTGCCCAGAAATTTGCCGAATCATGCGTCCTGCATTGCCGTCAGAATGCTCCTCAAGAGTTAAGTAGAACGGATATGTAACCTACGGATAAGTACTACATCGACACCCGTTAACTCAGCCAGTTCCGCGCAAGTTTTCTCTCCGCCTCCGGTCTCGATCCATTTGCTGAAGACACCCGCGTCAATCAACGTCTTGACGCATGCATTGGTGGCCGGGTTGACCCAGCAGTGCTGCCAAACAATGTCCCACGGCTTGTGTACTTTGCTCAAGGCCAGGGTCAGCGCATCCATGGCACGGACGCGCTCTGCTTCGCTAACGAAGGAGTTCGCGTCGAGGCCCTCCAGGGCTCCGATAAGTTGGTCTGCTGATGCCATGTTGGAAATAGGAATTAATTTTTGGGAAAGATGCAGGAACAACGGGAACGACGCGCCGTCTACTATTTGACAAAGCGTAATGTTGTTATCTACCGTAAACCGTGGCCATAATTACCGGCCGACTGAAGATTTCCAAATACTATAGTAGTTAGTAAATTTCTTGTAACAGATAAGCGCGTACTAAGATCCATTCTTCCTGTGTACTTTTCCTGATACGTAAACTGACTTGAACGACACGTGATGTGGCCAAACTTCTACGGAGTAATTAGTTCCGAATCGCATCTAACAAGCCGCACGATTTAATGCCATGCGGGTTGAAGTGGTTAGCACTGATCAGTTGAGGACACGGTATCCGAGGTTTGAGTGAGCAAGGATGTCTCAGGGGCGGACCCACCCGTTGGGCCCCCAACTTCTCACGCCATCCTTGGCAGGTAGCGCGTGGCATGCAGCCCCTCGGACTCGTGCGAGCGACCTTGACCAGACCTACCGGTTGGTACGCGTTGTAGCAGTTGAACTTTGGTGTTGCTGAAGAGTCTGTATTGAATTTCACAGTTCCTAGCCTTGATAACATTACCTCAACAACATCAAAGCTTGCCCAATCAGATCATCACCACGATCCTGCTGCCCTATCGCGCGCGTAGATGCTTGAAGGAAGTACTGACCCCCACACTGATACCAAGCTACTTGTCACGATCGTCAATTGGCTTCGCCCATCGGTCGCCCTTCGCGCTCGTCGTCACGTTAAACTCAAGCGTCTTATGGATCTGGTCCGCGCCGTGGTAAACGAGCGGGATGTCATCGATGCTTTCACCAGTGTGGGTCGATGTCCTCTCCACGTCATCCAACTGATGCCTTAGAAGTTTTTCCCATCTTCCGCTGGTGCTAGATAGCCCTCCTCGGTGGGTGGCGCTGCTGCGTTGTCCCTGGCTGGTGGTCCTACTGCCACTACCACTGCCACTGAGAGTCCGAACCTTGCCTCTGACCGAGCGGAAGAGCGGGCCCAGTGTGGGCAAAGAGGAGCATACCAGGAGAATACAACCCTCTCCCAGACCGAGTATATCGAGAAGCGGTACCGGGTCTACCAGAGTTAGTTCCATGCTGAGAAATATGTGGGATTAACAACTCACAAGTCGGGTTCTCAGCCAGTACTACGAAAATTTCTCCAAAGATTGTGAGTTTGTAGATGGTGAGGATGAAGGCCAGGATAGTGAGGCCCAGCGCGATCGAGACCAGGATACGGTTCTTGAGTGGCATGTTGAGGCGCATAATGAATGGGATCGGGTACACAGCGAAGAAAACATCCAGGAAGGCAGAGTAGGCGGAGGTGAAATACCCCAAATCTGACATGACCTTGGTACTGGCACATTTTCCGCCCGGTATGGTTCTGTTCCAGCCAAATTCGACCGGATCGCATTGCTTGTACCACCATATCGAGGTAGCCAATATACAGGCCTGGGAGCTGAGCGCGAGGCCCCAGAACAGTATCGTCGTTTTGAGGCCGTAATCCAGAATACGCTTGAGAATAGCGATGATGGCGAACTTGGGTAGCGAAAACGTCCATATCAGTACCGAACTGATGATCACATTCCACTTGAGAGCTCGCGGTATCAACGGGGGATCGATGGCCTCCATCCTCCGTCCGAGACCGTACTGTGTGCCGATCGAGATCAGGATGCAGGTGACGAGCATCACAACGACGCAGAATACGGTGATATAGTCGTCCATTCCAAGGCCACCGCCTTTGCTGGACATGCGAGTGCCGACTCTCAACGCCACGAACACTGCAAGACAGTTAGCTGTCATTCGGCGCAACATAAAAGGGCTACTCGCCAGCTGTGACTGCGAACATAGACCAGCAAGCCCTATCAGCGATAGTGCCATAGTCTTCCACGTCCCACAGTCCCATGGTGTTGACGATTGGTGTTGCAAAGGTTTGCGGAACGTTAGACGCTCCTGGTGTGATAAAGTGGGTTCATTGTTAGATACACTGCCGTCGGATGCGTAGCATGCCGCGTAGGATTGCGCGTAGGATGCGTTCCATGTAACAGTCAGAATCCTTCGCCGGCCCCATGAAGTATCGATTTTCGCCAAATAGTTGGCATGTGTTATTTAAATTGCCAATGCATACCGTGTACAGAAGATCGACATGTGATCGGAAACTCCTACAGGGGAAAATAGCAGGAAAATCATCTCGTACGGCATAATGACGGAAGTTGTTGAATGACTCAAGCGAATCAAAACACACCGATCGCCCTACCTTCTGAAAAGGTCAAAGGATTCCTACCCCAGGAGTTCCCGAAGTCCTGGCGAGACTCCGTATCAGCCCTGCGGTTCATGACTCATTTAACCGACATTCAGCTCTCCCCCAGAAATAAAGCAACATGTGACACATTCGACACAAACACCCAAATACCGCATGTGAAAGGGAGAGCATTTCGACATATCGTATAGTCAGCTGTCCGCCAAGAGGAAGCCAGAGTGTGAAAACTAGCTCTGCCAAGCTAACGGTTACTGTATGAAGTCATATGCTACATCCAAGCGATCAGGTTTAACAGAGAAGGTGAATGATACTATACGGTGGGTCAGTGGCGTCAGCTCAGGAACACATTGGTACTTTGGGTACATAGGCTTGGAACCCTTGCGGCAGTAGTTAATTGCTTCAATATACATTCGAGACGTCACCTCTTTCAATAGGCGTAGAACATCGTAGTCTCAGAGTTCGAGCTCTTAATCCTCCTGTTCTCCCGCACCAACCACCAGCGCATGAACCATGCGCCAGCCGCACACATGAGTGCCATACCAGCACTCATAGCCAAGGGCAAGACGAACCGCGGCTCCGACCACTCTGGCCAGATGTACTATTCAACGTTAGCTAACATATTCAGGCGATCAAGATGCGAGACTTACGGGAGTCCAGATCAAGCTGAGTGTAGCTGCGACGTTGGCAATAGCCAGCGCCGCAGATTTCTTTTCCCTCGTTTGTCCA